GCTGCTGCGGCGGCGGCGGCGGCCCTCACGCCATGCGGCTGCCACCCAGCTGCCTGGCGGGCGGGCCAACAAGCGCGCCGCCGCCCAGCTCTGCTTCCCATCCCGGCTCCTGGTACCCCATCCCCTTCTCAGCCTGCCTTCCTGCCAACGCCCCTGCTGCCAGCCGTGCGTTAACCCCTGCCTCCTCCCTCTGCTCCTCCCCCCGCCTCCCCGCTGCCTCCCCTCCCCTCCCTCCCCCAGGAGTTCCTGCGCGTGGGCTACTACGTGAACAACGAGTATGTGGAGGAGGAGCTGCGAGACAACCCGCCAGACGTGCCGCTCATCGACAGGTGCCGCGGCGGCGGTACACCGGCGTGCGGGGACACCGGCGCACCGCTGGCCGCTGGCAGAAGGCTGCTGCCTGGCCCCCTGCCCCCGTGCTGACCCTGCCCCCTGCTCCCCCTGCCCCCTGCCCCCCGCAGGCTGCACCGCAACATCCTGGCAGACAAGCCGCGCGTCACCAAGTTCAATATTGACTGGGACAGCGCGCGGGAGGCGAGCGGGCTGCAGTCGGGCATGGAGGTGGACAGCTAGCTGGGGGGGGGCGCAGCGAGCCAGCCAGCCAGACGCCTGGACCAGGCACAGCCCGACCCGCCGCCGCATGGCGCCCGCTGGCGCTGGCAGCGGGCCAGCGGCAGGCGCCAAGCCAGCAGCCAAGCCGCGACCCCGCCCCGGTGCGGCGGGCGCAGGCTGGGCAGCAGGCCGGCGGCCCCGCCGATTTTCAGCCCGCGCCCAGGCGCGGCAGCCCTGGCCTGCGCAGCCCGGCGCCGGGCGCCTCCACCCCTTTGTGTATGAGCGCCTGCTTAGAGCCCTTCCACCCCACCCATGTGTCCTTGACCCCGCCGTCCGTCCGCACTCGATTGCCCATTGCGTGTAATACCCCCTTACCACTCCCCTCTCCCTTGTCCTGCTCCCTCGCAACCCTCTCCCCTTCGGCTCTCCCTCCCTTTGCGGCTCCCCATTCCGTCCTGGGGGGCCAGGCCGCAGGCGGCGCCTGCCACCAGCCTGGCGCACCCTGCCCCTTCTCCCAGCCAGACCCTGGACTTGTTACTGCAGCGGGCTGTAAATGCGTGCAAGCCCATCCAGCCTGGCGCCATCTGGGGTCGCAGGGGCAAGCCTAAACCGCCGCGCCTGGCTGCCGCGGGCGTCAGCCGCCCGCTCGGGGCGGCGCGGCTGGCGGCGCGGCTGCCCCGCCACGCCCGCCGCCCCGAGCGGGCCGCCTGTTCCGCTGGCGGGCCTCCTACTCCAGTCGCAGCGCCTGCACCGCAGCTGCTGCCGCCGTCGCCCCTGCCGTCACCCCTGCCGCCGCCCCTGCTGCTCCTGTGCCTGCACCTGCTCCTGCACCTGCTGTGGCAGCTGCTGGTTTGCGTGGGTGGTGCTGCCGGCCCTCGCCGCCGGCACGCGCCCCGTGGTCGGGCCCGCCGCCCCTCCTGCCCTCCCGGCCCCCGCCCCGGCCGCCGCCCCCGTGCCCCTGCCTCCCTCCACGCCCGCCATGCTGGTGCCTGCCGCTGGGGCCGCGTCCGCCGCGCTGCTGCGGGGCCCCGCCGCCGCCGCCGCCGCCCTTAACAGGCGCTCCAAGCGCTGCCTCGGGCGCCGGCACGGCCGCCTCGGCCGCCGTCGCCGCCGCCGCGGCCCCAGCCTGCTGCAAGTCTGAGAGCGACACGGAATGTGTGGCTCCCACCAGGCCGCCGCACGCCTGCTGCCGCCGCATGACCGCCGCGTGCCGCCGCTGCGTGGCCTGCAGCTGCTGCCTGTGCTGCGGCGGCAGCTCCTGCAGCGCCGCCCGCGCGCTGCTGCCGGCGGCGCCGCCGCCGCTCCACGAATCGGCAGTGGCGGCCTGCAGGCAGAGCAGAGATGCAATGTGCACTGCGATCGGCATGACACCAGAAACATTTAAGAAAGCAGGGCCATGGTCAAGGTCAGCAGGAGCAGGCCGTCTGCTTGCGCAGCGGGTGCCGGGGCCCACCCGCCTGCCCTGCCCTGGCACCCCCCCCCCATCGACACACAGACTCTGCCGCCACCTTCCCCACACGCTCCCGCCCACCTGCAGCTGCGGCCAGGCGTGCGCCAGGCTGGAGGGTGGCACCTCGCCCCGGCAGGCGGGACAGGGCAGCACGTAGGCCGCCGCCGCGTCCCCGCCGCCGCCACCGCCGCCGTCATTGCCGTCCGCCGCCGCCTCGCGCCGTATGCCCTCCTCTTGCAGCTTCAGAGGTGCCATGGACTTGTACTCTCCCCACAGCTGCCGCTCCCGCCGCGCCAGCTGCCGCTGCTGCCACTGCCACCACGGCGCGAAGCAGGCCCTGGGATGCAGGCGGGTGGGGGGAGGAAAGCTGATGAAGGGAAGCTGATGAAGGAACACAGGAGCCAAGCCGGGCCCAGGCCAGGAAGAAGGATGCCGGAAACCAGGCGCCACAGGTTTGCCGCAAGGCCGGCGGCTGGGCTCACAGGTGGTAGCAGTGGTAGCAGCCCAGGCGGAGCACCGCCGAGCCGGCGCCGCCACCGCCCCCGCCGCCCGGAAGGTGATCAGCGAGCAGCGGCTCCAGGCAGAAGGCGCAATGCCCCTCTGGCTGGTTGGCGGCGGTCAGCAGCTCGATGGCCGTCTCGCACAGGTGGCCCAGCTGCAGCTCTCCGGCCATGCATGCCGCCTCAGCCGCCAGCGCCGCCTGCACCTCTGCCAGCCGCTGCTCGCCCAGGCCTGCAGCAGGCAGCAGCGGCGGCGGCGGCGGCATGAGGGTCGGGATGGCGGGCAGCGGCGGAAAGTTGGTGCTAGCACGGCTCTGCCGGCCTCGCCGCACCTTTGGCATCTGAGAGGTGGACGTCAGGGGGCTGGGAGGGGTACTGGGGTCCCACCGCCAGCACCAAGCGCCCCGCCACAAACTGCTCGTGCTCTGCGCCGCCGCGGGTCCGCGGCGCCACCGCCAGCGTCACCACGGCCGCCGCCGTCGCCGCAGGGGCACGCTCCACCTGCACCTCCTCCTCCCCATACGTCGCCTGCAGCGCCTCTACCTCAAACTCCAGCTCCTCTGGAAGGGGCATGCTGGGGCCGCCCAGCTACCGCTGCCGCTGCCGGGTGCCGCCGCCGCCGCCCCTCCCGAGCCGCCGCAGCTGTCCCGCTGCGCCGCACTATGTAACTGATACTAGCAATCAGTGTGAAGAGTGCAACCGGCTGTTGGCGCGAGAGAGCGGCAGGCCTTCTGAGCTGATGGCTGCTCGGCAGGAGCGGCAGGCGTAAGTCTTCTTGTCGTTGCTGTCCGCCTGCCGTTCTTGCGCGATGCGCGATGGTGCAGGCCGCTGTATGTTGCAGGGTGCTGCTGTGCCTGCTGTCACCGGCGGAGCGGCGGCACCGGCAACCAGGGAGTCGCTGGGTTCAGGTTTACATGGCATTTGTTTTGTTTGAACAGCAATGGGATCAGGTCTCGAGTCAAGCATTCAAATCCACGCACATACCCTGAAGCACGCTACCGCATCAACAGAAAAACAGGGGGCTGATCGCAGGCTGCTCCACCCGTGCCACGACCGCCGGCGGGTGGGTGCCGGAAGATTGGAAGATGAAGTAAGATAAGAGCACACACGCTGAAAAGGACTGATGGTCATGGGAAAATGACGGGCGGGGTCTGAAGATGCCTCTAGGTTAGAGGATGCCATGGGGCGCATGGAGAGAATAACAGGGAAAGGAAGCACACCAACACTACACTGAGCCCAGCTGTTATGGCTGCGTTGGGCACATTGCCCTGCAGCCCGTAAGGAGGCGACGCGTTGAAAATCAAAGGAGCGGCATCCCCGCTCTCTTGTGATACCAAAAACCTGAATAGGAACACTGCCACGGGGGCGGCGGGCGCGCATACACAAAAAGAAAAACAGCAGGCTGCCCCGCCTGGGTGGATTCAGTTCTTGACCATTGCTGCAGCGGCGGCCGCCATCTCTGCAGATGCCTTGCAGGGACCCTGCAGGAGGGCAAGAGGAAGGGGAAGGGCGAGGCAGGCAGGTAAGCCGCGGCAAGATGCGGGCGTGCGGGGTGCCAGCCTCCCCTCCAGCCCTCCTAAGCGGGCGTGCATGTGGCAGCGGGCCGCCTCCATTGCACCGGCCAGGCTGCGCACGTGGCTCCCCCAGGTGCAGCCCAGGGCATGAGCGGCGCACCATGTTCATGGGCGGCGGCGGCGGCGCCATCGTAGCCTCCTCCCCAGCCGCCAGCAGCGCATCGATGCGGGACACCAGCTCCTCAAAGCTGCGGGGCGCGGGGGAAGGCAGGGGGAGGGCAGGGGGCAGGCGGTGGGCACGGGGCAGGCGGTGGGGGCAGCGCCGCCGGGCCAGGCCGCCGCTGGCAGCGCACAGACACTCGCTGCCAGGCGCCCGGCCGCGAGGCGCGCACAGCGTGCGGGCCGTGACCGCGCGCATGCCCCGCAGCACGCCGTACCGCACCGTACCGCGACCCCCGCGCCACCCACCTGGGCCGCTTCTGGTGGTCGCGCTGCAGGCAGGCATCCATGAGCGCCTGGTAGCCGCGCGGCGCGCCCTCGGGCAGCGCCAGCGCCCCCTTGCCGCTGGTCACCAGGAAGACGACGTGCGGCATGCGGTGGCCGACGTAGGCGCGCACGCCGCTGCGCTCAGGCGGGGGGGCCAGGGGCGGGAGCAAGGGCGGCGGTCAGCCGCAGCGGAGCCGCCTGGGAGGCGAGCATGCCTGATGCGCGGGCGGGCGGGCAGGCAGGCAGGCAGGCAGGTAGGCGAGGTAGCAGGCTCCCGCTGCAGACATATACGTCGCCAGGCCAGCCTCCCGTTCCGCCGCAGCTCTCCCGTCGCCAGCCGGCGGCCAGCTGCCCCCCCCCCCTCCCAAACACGCCCCCGCCCCCACCCACTTGTACATCTCCCAGCAGATGACGCCAAAGGACCACACATCGGCCGCCGGGGTCAGCAGGCCATCCGTCATCAGCTCTGCAGGGTGAGGGGGAGGGCAAGGGGCTCAGGTGTGAGGACAAGGCTGCAGCGGGCGCTGGTGCCGCCGCACACGGCGCGGCGCACCGGCGCGCTGCGCTCGCTTCCGTTCCCGCCCTCGCGCCGTCCTTCGGCACCCACCTTGTCCCCCCAGCACACGCACCACACCA